GAAATCATGACCAAATAAACTATAATTGAAATGTTAAGACTTACAACATATATACAACTGTAATTTATTGGGAGAATAGAAATATATAACTCCCCACTTTCATAACTAAAATTTATCAATATATCAAACAAAGCTGCAATTCTGTGGTCTTTACACATGTGTTTTGTTTATTTCTAGTTCATTGTTTTAAAATGATAGAATTTTGAAGTTGGTCATGTCAAAAACTGTAAAATTCAACTGTGCAATTTTTGTCTTAGAATTTTCAAGCTTCTAAACTAACATAAGTCATCTGAAATTAGGGATTATTTCTTTCCTCTCAGTCTATTTATGATAGAGCTCCCTTTCTTCCTTAAGTGGATTGTAAGTTTCTAAACAGCCATCTGTTTAGGGTATGCGAGGCCCTTAGACATTGTGATTTGCAAGGCCCACATTTCATGATTACTGAACATATATGACCAAAATATTCAGAAAGAAAACTGGCTATCAAATTCCTAAAAATGTATTTCCATACATTTTAAAAAATACATCTTTTTAAAACACTTATTGAAAAATAGATGCATTGTTAATTCTTAGGGGTAGGCTTCTAAGGCCAGTATCAGTCGTAGCCAAATTGGTTCATTGAATTTCCTGGTGTTTGGTCATGTTATTTTGAAGTTCTTCAGTGATTCTCCAACTAGCCACTACACACAGAATCCGTGTAGGGTACTTTATTTGTTTCTACTCTTCTGTACACTAAAGTCCTCTATTAGATCAAAATAATCTAGAGAGCTTGTTACATTATCTTCTATAGATAATATAGCTAGTGATCTTTCATGGGACTTGGTAGAACTGATAGAGCTTGGTAGAGCTGTAACTGATATAGTCAGGAATATGCAAAGTGCTACATACACATTAGAGTAAATCCCACATAAGCTATTGTTAATGATGAATTTCAAGGTGCATTTCATATTGATGTTAAGGGGAGGGGGAGAATCCTGCTAATCATACTCAATTCTTCATACATCTCCACGTCAGTAATATCACTCAAAGGTAAGTATAATCTTGAGGTCTTTTTAATGTTACAAAAACTCTTCCCCTGTAATGGTTTCAAGTTTTGATATATTATATGAAACTCCAAAATCACCATCATACTTTTTAAGAGCCTCAAAAGGTTTTTCACATGAATTATATGAAAACAATAACATTAATGAATCCTGATTAATTCCTTATACTCATTGGTATGTTCATCCTCACTTTCATAATAAAATATTTTTTCTTAACTTGAATTGCAGTTTTCTGAATCTTCTATATTTTCTGCCAGATCATTGGCTGTCAAAAGTGGTGACTCAAAACCCATTGATCTGTATTCACCAGGCCATTTCAGAAATCCTTCTAAGTGTATAACAGTGCTATCCAAATGCATATGATCACTTTGCCGTGACTTACTTATAGCATTGATTTTTAATAAGATCTCATACCATATAAATAAAGATACTAAGAAATCATATTCACTGCAAAGTTTAGGATCATCTTTACAACTTGCAGATAGTTCTTGTAAACCATCACAGACCTCTTCAAGCTGAAAGTGAAAAACTTTCACACTTTGTATGCAGCACTCCCATCTAGTTTCTGAAAGTGGTTTTAGGGTAATATTTACCTTTTCTTTTAATACATGCCATCTGTTAGAAGATGCTGAAAATAGAATTATTTTAGACACAGACTAGAACCATAGTGATGACAATACCAAATAACAACACCCATTGTCTAGCAGCAACAGCCCAGTTGGCTGAAGGCACAAATGCAGAATTACTAATTTTCATTTTTCAAAAGCATTTTATAAATAAAGTTTGAATAGAAAACTTCCACAAAACAACCAGACTTTTAGAAATTGTTGAATTAGTTTAATAATAATGCAAACAAAACAGTTATTAACATTATTTATAAATATGCAATTCTCTAATAAGTAAGCGTGAGGCACCAGTGGCATAAGGTCTTAACCAGTAGCTTAGCCCTAAATCTGCACCTGTTTCTAAACTTTAAGTTTTACCTTTTCTTGTCTCCAAATAATCTAACTACATCAAGGTTTTATAACTTTTGATAGGCAACGTAAAAGTAATAGATTAATTTTATTGGTGTCCATGCTTGTTCTGTTATTTCATTGAAGTGATTACTTTGGCATTTCCTGTTCTCTTTACAAAACTCTGTTTTTAACTTGAAGCTATGGAGTGTTATGTGGACTTTACCTTGTCACAATCTCATAGATTAACCAGAGTTTTTGAAATAGTACATAATACGTAAAAGGAATAAAGAGTAACTTTTATAAGTAAGATATAGTAAAATAATTATTATCTACTTACATACTTTTATGTATAACATATATTACTGCAAAATGTCTTTCAACAAAGTGGCCTAGCATGTGAAACCTAGCTTTCAGGTCAACAGTTGCTGGAATATTGCATAATGACATAGAATGCAACTATGAGACAAAGAGGTTTTGAGTTCATAATAAAATGTAAATTCACCAAAAAGCATTTACTGTTTATTGTGCTTTAGTTTTGAAGTGTGTGTTTTTTTAGGGATAGTTTTATTTAGGAGTTACTAACTCTTATACATGTAAAAGTAGCTTATATAATGCATCATGCTGGAAAGAGTTAAGTCAGAAGTTAATTTAAACACCCGAGCAGAAACAAAAATCAATTCTGTAAGACTTTTAAACAAATTTGTTTTTTGTTTTTTTAATATAGTATAGTCACTGCATAATATTGCTATTATAAAGTTTTCACAAATATATGTTTTGCCTCTCTTTTCTTGTTTTAAGATCAAAATATTTTGTTTTTGGTGTTTTGTAAAAACTTTGTGTTCATTAGAAAAATGTTAACTTGAAAGCAGATAAAATGGTCAGCTTTTACAAGACTATACATGTAGTAAATTATAAGCATTGTCTCTTTACATCTCTATTCCAGGCAACGAGGAACTGTCCGTGTGTATGATTTCTCAGCTGATCAACAAACAAAGGGTGTTCCATCTATTTGTTTATCATCATACAATGAACCTACTGGTTACAATTATAACATCCGTTTAGCCGTACCCTATGATGAAATTCGTGGATTTTGTTCATAAAAATGATAAATTAAATCTTCACTTTTTATTCTGATGTGTAAGCCTTGTACATTATTTACAGATTCACGTCATTTCTAGAAACACAATGTAATGGTGGGTATACTTTTGTACTTTCACTATATCGTTTTTAATAGGGTTGTTGATACACAGAGTTATTCATCAGTCACACCCGTGTGGTAGTACATGAAAGTGGTGAACTGTAACATCATTAATGTATATATTTCCCACTTACTACAAAAATTATAATAAAATCTAAGTTTTGTGGTTAGTGGGCAACATACTTTTCAAGTACTTCTGTGGTAATCCCATTTTATGTTGGGCAACATACTTTTCAAGTACTTTTGTGCTAATCCTATTTTATGTATTTTCAACAAACAGGATTGAACCTGTAAGCTCTCAGACCTTTTATAACAACTCAAACTACCAGTTTAATTTTTTCCCCTCAATTTACAGTTGAACCCAACACATCCTATATGCCAAGTGAGTAGTGCTCCACTGACTGAGCTAAAGTGTTAATCCACTATTAATTGCTCATAAATAACTTTTTTAATATCTTAAAAAGGCCACATTCTTCCCCTCTCATAAACAAGTCTCATCATCAGACCTCACGTCACAGTCATGGGATGGACCCAGGTTGAGCAACAGCTGTTCTGGAGTAATTTCAGTTTCATTTATTATTTGTGTCAGAGTCAAACCCAAGACCTCTTGCCCACCAGATAAGTACTCTACAAACTGAGCTACAGGGCTAACCCCAGAGTGTTTGCTAATCAGGCACGTTTTGATAACTCGTACTACCCTTTTGAATATTCCTGTATTTTGCATTGTTGAATAAAAACAGATGAATTATACTCAACTAATGTTGCTTTTTATGGAATAGTTTACTAAGTTTTTGTTTGAAAGTCCGTATAGTGATGTTAATGTTTCTGTAACTCAACATGTTTATAGAAATGTACTGCTGTTTGTAACATGAAATGATTTACTTCATGATACTTGTGTAAATATTCCTAAGAATTTTTACATTTTTGTAATGAACATTCTGAAACTGTAAAATTCTGATAAAGAAAAAAGAATGCATTTTATTTTTCTCTTTATTTTGTTGAAACTACTCAATTTTTCTTTCTGCGAGTGTAAAATAAAATAGGCCTAAAGAGTCTTTCTTTCTGCACAAAATTAAAATGATGTGTTACACACACTTAGAGTCGATTTTTATCATTATCACATAAAATAGCTATAAAAAAATCCTTTTAACATGTCTAAATTGAAGTTTTTACACCAATTAATAAAAGTAGTATCTAATGATCAGTTCATTTTTACACATTATGTTCAGTAAGTTATAGCTACGTCAGGAACAAATGATAGGTAAAAGTTTATTTTTAAAAAGCTACATCAAATATTCTGTGTTAATTATATTTTATTTATCTAAGCCATTTCTTAAAAGTACATTTTTTTATCCCAATTATTTTATTGTTTTTGGATCCCTCTGTATATACCATATCATAAAAATTGTACAGTTTCCAATATGTTTTCACACTACCAGTTTTGGTTTAATGAAGCTAAGTGCACATAAAGTTATTTTTTCTAAAGAACTTCAGATTTAAAGCATTGTTAATCAACTTATATAAATGGTTGAGTACATTATATTAAAATGATTTTGAATATATAAGTCAGCAAAATACGTGAAACCCAAGTCAGCGTTCCAAAGAGGAATAGCATATACCAAATCAACATTTTGACATTTTTTAATATTTTCATAAATAGAGTGATGGCACAGAAAATTGATGGAAAGAGTATCTAACAGCCCTTTCCAACACAAAATATTCATAAAGATGTGTTTAGATTGAGGATTTAGAATTTACAAGATGATATCTCTTAATGGCATTGGAAAATAAAGAATGTGGATCAATATGGGTAACCAGGACCTTCCAATAGGAGACCAGCAACAAGTTATACCCCAGCCATGGTAAGTAAAGAGCAGCATTTTGTAAGAGGTGAGAATCCATTAACTCAAATGTCAGTTGCAAAAGCTGTCTCCATAGCCCAAGTAACACTATGTAACATAATCTAGATAGACCTCTATTTGAATACAAAGCCAAAAGAGTATGAGTTCACCAATGTAAGACTTCTAGACAACAGTATGCAACATAATCAATAAGGATATTCATCTGATGACAGGGCCAACAAGGTATGAGTTAATCAAAAAAAGGTTTCTAGTCATGCATCCCATATAACCATTGCATACCTTAAGCAGCTGAAGAATGAAACAAATGTTCATACTATTCCATACAAAGATGTACTGGTCAAGTCACTGGATGCATTGACTTTATATTTATATGTGGATCAGATTGTTAAACCATCATTCTTCTACATGATATGGATTGTGGAAAGCAAGCAGGTAGGAGTAGTATACATTTGACATGACAGCCTTACAGTGGAGCAGCTTGCATTGGAAATGATGCTGCTGGGATATTGTCAAGATGCACGGTCGTCAGAGGGGTCATGACTGGACGTGACAACATGGACTGTAATGACGTGGTGAGGCTTGAAAAACGTTTTAATATAACGTATTCTCAGTCTGTCACTACCACAACAATTCCACCCTTGTGAATAGTAGAAGTTAAAAATTAGCATACATCATCCTGTACAGTTTTTTATTAGGTCGTCAAGAAATTAATGTCGCGGTTTGGAACACTTTCATTACCTCCCCTCCCCAAAACTGTATAATGGTTAACCGAACCGCCTAAACTCACGTTAGTGTAGCTTATATAATGTGCAAAGTTTAGTATACTCTAATCCCTTGTAGTGATGGCACATGACGAGACACACATTCGGCATGTAATGCTGTTTGAATACAAGAAGTGACTTTAGCCTTAAAAACTTTGATGGCAGGGACCGACATGTTGGAATTGATATTGATGCTCTGAAGACGTTTGTTGAGCCTGATCCAAGGCAACACACTCGTGAAATGACCATGAAATTGCATGACTCTCATGAAATAATACGTAAACATCTAAGGAATATGGGAAACTCCATAAAGAAGGTATTTGGGATCCTTACGAGAACTCTCCGATGATCATCATTTCCAATGTGTGAACGTTGCTTCGTCTCTTCTGGCACGTGAACTATTTTTGGACAGAATTGTCACCGGTGATGAAAAATGGATTCTCTATGCGAATATTAAACGCCAGAAACAATGGCTCCATCCTAGACAAAAACCACTTCCGACTCCATCCGCAGAAAATGATGCTTTGCATTTGGTGGAAAATCAAAGGAGTAATTCATTTCGAACTCCTCAATCCACAGCGAACTGTCAATGCAGAGATGTATAGTCAGCAACTGAAACTTTTAAATCAAGCCCTTCATCAAAAACGTCCTTCAATCGGAAAGGTGTTATTCTCCATGACAATGCACGTCCACATGTGGCACGTTTGACGCAACACAAGATTATGGCGTTGGTTGAGAAGTTCTTCCCCACCCACCATATTCTCCAGATATGGCACCATCAGATTACCATATTTTTCGTTCGCTGCAACACCATCTTAATAGGAAAACGTATGCGAATATGGAAGGTGTTAAAGAGGACATCGACATGTTTTTTCTTTAATCAGGGCATTAACAACCTAATTGTAAGATGGAAAAGCATCATCGATAGAATGAAGCCTATTTCATTTAATAAATGTTTTGTTTTGATATGTATAAGTTGTTATGGTTTTTTCATCTAAAAAAAAAGCGACATTAATTTCTTGACGACTTAAATTTAGAACTCATTACAAATAGTTCATGTATTTCATTATACCCGAAGTATTTAGATAAAATCATGTAAAGATTGAATTACTTCAAAAATACCTGCCAATATCAAACAGTGCTTTAATTTAGAGCTTTGGGTAAGAAAAAAAGTTAAACAGCATTGTACAAGTGTACTTGATAACTATAATTTAGAGGGTTCCTGTTGAAATTAATTTCAAGTAAAAATAAGCTTGTATATTAAGATCTAGTAGCTTCTGATAGTAATTTTTTTACCTTCAGTATAAACTGTGTTAAAGTATTTATACTGAATATTTGGAGAGAAGATAAGACTACTCAGTGCTGAAAATGTTCAGTTTTTACGTTGGAGGTTAATTTAAGATAATAATAATAATAAAGCGTTATTAAAAGTCCAAGAAAAAACATTCAGTTTTCTAAGCTATGACATGGTTTCGTGTACGTAGCAATTAGCTAGGCCTTTTGCTTCAAAGATTAATGTTATTTTTCAGCAACTAAAAAACGACGATAATTTCAGAATTTTAAATAATAAATATGTTTGAATTTTTTATTATTTCATATAAGGAACTTAATAACAAACGAAAAGTAAGAAGCAGAATTTTCGAAAAACACAACAGCTTCCCGGACGACACGCATTTACTGTCTTGTGTTATTTCTTGCATTGCGTGATACACGCAATTGAACTATGCTAATCGCGTTCATATGCATTTTATATACGTTAGTAATTAGCTGATTGCACCTACTATTTACAGTAATCATTGCTAAGGGACACGTTTTAAAGACTAATTTTATTGGCTGTCTCGTATCTGTACGCAGGAGTAGAAAGGCCTTTACACGTATTTCTTAAATAGTTTATGGAAGAAAAAAAAATTAAAACTGAGAAAGGTGATTCGTGTTTTGAAACCTCGTTTGTAATAAGCTTATAAGCAAATAAACAATAGGTTGAATATATTTCATATAGCTAGTTCAACACTGATGAAAATCAACTTTGGTAAACGTACGAAAGCTGTACAATTTGGGCCGGCAGAGGCTTAGTTATTAGCGTGCTCGGAATCGAAGGCTTGATGGTTTGCAACTCTTCGTCGCACTTTGGGGCCGTGGGTACGCCACAATAGTTACGATCAAATCCCACTATTCGGTCAGACAATAGCTGGTGGGTGCTGTTCAATATTTCTCATCTCTAACTTAGAGACAACTACACAGCCCATTGTGTAGCTTTGTGCTTAACTTCAAACAGACTTGTGATAAATAATTTCATACAGTGGAAGAACGAGTTTATTGTAGAACCGGTTGTTTTAGTATATTCTTGCGCAGTATACAATTTTAAGTTGCTTTCACTAGATCGTTATTATTACCTAAGCTTAGGTTTATTTTATTTATTTTGTATGCTGTTTTAACCTTTAATTTCAAACACACTAGTTTTTAAATTGAAATATTGATATTCTTGTTCGTTATATTTTCTACACGTGATTGCATCGCAGAAAATTTTATTCACACCATTCGTCAAGTGGGACAGCGATAAATTTACGAATTTACAACGCTAAAAACAGGGGTTCGATTCCGCAATGTAGCTTTGCTAAAAGAAAACAAACCTATTTATCGAAATGTTTTAAACATTTAAATTATTGTTTTATTTCTTTTTTATTATGATATTTACATTCATAACAATAATAATTTTTTTCTTTAATGAAATTTTTTATTTGTTGTTAAGAGCATAGCTACACAATGGGCTATATGCGTTGAGCCCACCGCGAATATTGAAACCCGAATTTTAGCGTTATAACCTCAGACTTACCGTTGGGCCACCAGGGAAAAAGTTCCACAATGGGCTATCAGCGCTCTGGTCATCGCGGAGACTCGAACACGGAATGTTAAAGTTGTGTAAGTGCGTAAACTTGCCCCTGGCCCATCGGGAGAGTAATTAAAGTTTGTTTTTTTATTGTTTTTTTATGTTGTTGTTGTTTTTATGAAACACTGGCTCAGTAATTATAACGTTCACCGTGTCGTTATAACATCGTACATGTAACATACATTCCACCACTAGCACAAGTCTTGTCTTGTTTTTCCGGTTTGACTTTTCCATGGTTATGATGA